CTAAAAACACCTGGACTAATTGAACTCATCTGTATCCAATATCCTGTTAAAAGAGGAAGTGGTGGGAAGAGTATATAAGAGGAGGTGAAGGAGCAATAAAGCGAGACTTCGCAGAGACTTCTACCATCACTGGTCTCCTGTTGGTGCTTCATCCCCAGACCCTCTCCCTGTCCACATTACTGGCTCTGCTGGCCAGAGCAAACAGCACCTAACGTGGGGCACGGCACAAGGGACAGTTTGAGGAACCCCTGGACATATGAAGGTAAGTTTAAAAGTTAAAATTTTTCAGGGCTTAAGTGATTTCATCCCCAGACCCTCTCCCTGTCCTAGGGCATGAGGGATGATGTGAGGACCCCTTGGAACTCTTGACGGGCATTAATGATCTCATTCCCAGACCTTCTCCCCATCCTGGGGCACGAGGCATAATCTGAGGGACCCCCGAAATCTGGAGGTAAGCTTAGAATTAAATATATTGCAGGGGCATATGTAAAATTTATCATTGAGCAAGAACTCGCGAAAGTGCAGATACTTAAGGAAATCACAGATTTGCTCCTGTCACAAGGCACCAACATTATGAAGCTATCTGTGATGTATCCCCATGGTTTGTTCTCCTTGTAGCCACTTTTTGTCTCTGGCACTTGGTAAAAAGTGCTTTGCCATCCCCTCAATCAGTGGTGCAACCCTTCCTGGAAAAAGTATCTGTAAGAAGGGGGAGAGGCCGCAAACCAGGGTAAACAAGGAGCAGGAACCCCAAACCAGACAAAGTCTGAAGAAACTGCATGAAGAAGATCTGTGGTTCTTTTCTGAGGAGGAGGAAGTGGAAAAGATGGAAGTGAGCTTGTCAAGAATCTTCCACCTGTAGAGCACATGCCCATAGAACGTGTGCCAAGCAAAAATCTCTTTTGGCCAGGCACAGAGCCCTCTGCACTGCCTGTGCCATTGGCACCATTAAATCTGGGTGCAGCAGTGAAAGATTTACAGGGGCAACTTCAGTGTCTCTTCCTTCAGTTGAGGCAGGATTAGCTGTATCCCTAGCTTTATGTATGTAACAACTGTGAATGTGCAAAATGTTTCCAAAGCCCAGGAACTGCTGTCTGCTCATTGCTACCAAGCTAAAGATATTCCTAGCCACGGAACAAGGTTACCAGCCTCCCCAAGTATGGTTTGTGCAGCTGCAGCAGGCAACACGTTGAGTGGCAGCCAGTGATGGGTAAGATGGATCAGGTACTGACCAACCTGAGGCAGGGACTCCATCATGCTACAGAGATTCCCGATGACGGGTAAGGCTGATAACCTGAGAGTCCACAACCTGAGACAGGTGCCTTGAAGTCTGCTTTAAAACAAAAAAGGGGACCTGTTGTGGGCTAAGGAGTTGATTAGTGCTCATTAGCCTAGGCAGGAACAATAACTGGGCTTGTAGCTAAAAACACCTGGACTAATCAAACTCATCTGTATCCAATATCCTGTTAAAAGAGGAAGTGGTGGGAAGAGTATATAAGAGGAGGTGAAGGAGCAATAAAGCGAGACTTCGCAGAGACTTCTACCATCACTGGTCTCCTGTTGGTGCTTCATCCCAAGACCCTCTCCTTGTCCACATTACTCGCTCTGCTGGCCGGAGCAGTGATGCCCTTTAATAGGGTAGTAATAGATTTGTAATTGTTACTAAAGGAATATACTGCTGTAAAAATATGGGAGGAAAGTGGTAGAGAGGAAAGAATCGAATGAGAAAAGGGGGACAGGCAGAATCCCTGTACTAACAAAACTGTATCATGAAAAATGGAAACAGTTAAAACATTGGAATACTTGGTTTCAAGTGCCAGCTCCATACCTGATAGCATCTTCCAACTAATGACTAATGTTTGAGACTGCAGTTGATGGATCAAATGATTATATCTCTGGAACCTGTGTTGGAGTCTTTTACTACATTTCTGTCCTAGTTGTCAGCAATGTGTAGGAGATCTACCTTTGCCTCACACTGTCTCTGAGCTCTTATCTTTCCCAAATAAAGTAAATTAACCAATGCTTTGTAAAAGAGAACTGGATATTTATGCTTTGTTTATTTTAATCAGTGGTTTATAATTGCCTCTCAGACAAAATACTTTTTACAGATTTAATATAGCTGTTACTTGTTATTGCATGCCGTTTTGTATGTATTTTGAACTACAAGCACTAAAAAAATATTGCAACTAGAAATACAAGTTGTTGCGATCAGCATCAACGTGTATGAAGAGTGAATGGTATTAAATCTTAGAACATAGGGTCATGTGGAACAGCAGCCATAAAACAATGACAGCTTAAAAGTAAAACAATAGTGAATCAATGCAGATACGATCTCATTGAAGCCTGATACTCATTTTGATAGTAACAATTATATAATCAAAATTGTGGGGGATTTTGCTTTTCATAATTAAATATTATGTAAGGAATATCTGCATTGTATAAAAAAAACAAATTGTTTATTCAACATCATAAGCAATGAAGCTTATATTAAAATAAGTAAAACTCTTTGGTTTTATCAAGTAAGTATTCATGGAATTAACTGAAAAAAAGTTTGCTATCATTGAGTAACGTGGCTCAGTCTCCCACTTGTTTTATTTTGTCTTCTTAGCACTTACATACAACGGTAAAATCTCTGTATTATGAATTCATGGAAGGTCATGAAGAAAGAAGCCAATTGAACCTAAATAAATTATGTTAGAACTGTGAGATGGTTTTATGTTAAAATGGTCCATGTATTCTTGCCCAGACGTTTATATTGCTTATACAGTTTAATAAGGATCAAAAAATCTGAAAATTAGATTTAAGGAAAGGTAGTAACTAAAACATTGTGATTCTTTAATTTAGCAGTCTTCTGTTAATGGGTAATCTACATGGAATATTTAACAGTTTTCAAATAGTCCATGGAAAATTTTGTGACAAAAATAGCTATATTTTTAATTTTTTTACAAAAATTTTATTTTTTTAAAGTTTGGCTTCTCATATAAATCTACATTTTTAGGAAGTATATTGCAATACCTCAACACATAGGTGTAGTATAAAGCCAACATATCAAATTAGCTTTCTGTGTCCCAATCTCTTCTTTGTGATTAAAGTCTAAAATTCAAAGAACTTCTTTTTAAAATAATTATCTATTCGTATCTTTAGATTTTACCCTTCCTGGAGTACAGTGGACTTTGTCATTTTTGGCCTGAATAAATTTGGAGGAATTTCAGGGTGTTGTTTCATCAGACATAAAAGTAACTTGAAGAGGTATTATATGATCTAGCTTATGTTGCTCATTTTTTGAGTTTTTAAGTGGGTGGAGAAAGACATGTAAGAGTTAAACTACATATAAACTTGCTGAAGGGTCTGATATTGTGTTCTAGTGCTTCAAGCTGCTGCCTGCAGCTTTGGAGTCCAGTATTGGGTCTTACTTGAGTCCAGTTGTTCCACTTTCAATCCAATTCCCTGCCAAAGCACTTGAAAAAAAAGCAAAAGATGATGCAGGTTCTTCATACTCTACACCCATGTAGGGGACTCAGAAGAAACCAATGATTGCTGATTTCAAACATCCCAATTTGGCTTTTGTGGCTAGTGGAAAAAAATAGCAGATGAAAGATTTCTGTCTCTCCATTTCTCCCTTTCTCTTACAAACAAGGAACAAATTACGGATTATGACTACTGAGCATAGTGAAATCAAACTGTCAAATATTCGGTCTAATACTGAAGCACTTGGTTCTCAGTTTGGAATTCTTTATGTGTATGCAAACATTTAACTCTAAGGAATTTTATGAGAATCCTTTTTCACATGCTTCTTTAGTGGGTTAATGTATTTATTGTATCATAAGTATATTAGTAGGGGTCTTGGGATTACATATACAAATGATAAAATATGATGCAATGCATCTTTATTAACTACAACTGAAGGAAAACAGGATACAGAAAATCAAGACAATGTAACTAGAATTTAGAGTTAATATATGACAAAATCTATGCTTTGTGACACTAGAAATAAGCTATTTATTGGCAGTGAATCTTACCATACAGCTTAAATCTAAATTCATAAGCACAGAAACTTGTTGACTACATTTAATTTGAATATATGTATCAGTCCCAATTCCCATCATCAATTGTGGTAACACAGCATCAATGCTGTACTCAATGCAACTATAGAGATATTTTATTATAATCACATTTCCAAATGTCTGTATTTTGCTTTGCTTAGTATATGTAATATATAAATATATACATGATTAGTTTTGGAAATATCATTTTTCATATTAGACTCCAGATCGTGGAAGTATATTCTGAACCAGAATGCGTTCTTTACTTTGAAATGTAACTTGTTACAGATGTTAATGTTTTGTTTCTTGCACTTCAAGAACATTTTGAAACAGGTTCAAATTGTGCAGCACATACAGTTTCTACAATGTAATTTGCTAGAGATTGGGAAACCCTAATTTTCAAGTTGGATTGTTCTTGAAAATCTGTTTTCATACTTTCTATGACTTAAGCACTTTCTCTTCAAAAAATGTTCTGCAGTTGCTTGAAGAAATTAAGTGCAGTTAATCAGAGAGAATATTATAATTTGACATTTAATTTGAAAGCCTTGTCATGAAGCAGTGAATGATTGCTTGTGATATTACATATTGCAAGGAGAACCAAATGGGGAATACTTTCATGTCAAAAGTACATCTTAGTATCTATGAAAGTCAAGGTGTCATTGTCTTTTTGTCAGATATGTTTCATTATATATATTTTGTGGAATTTAGTCTAATTTGACGTATTAAAATAGCAAAACTATATTACAATGAATTTATTCAACTCATTGAATAATCTAGTGGAGAAGGCTAGTGGCCTTTAATTTATTTACTTTGAAACTGAAAGTATCTCATTCATGAAATGGCTAAAATGAACTATCAAGTTTCACATTTTAACAATTATAAAAGAGTGAAACAATCTAAATTGTATAGGTAAAAATATTTTCATGTCTGCTGACTCTACGTTTTGTCTCTCCTCAGTGCCACCAGTGATCACAATGCCTCAGAAATCTTTTAATGCTACAGCAGAGAGAGGAGAAGAAATGACACTATCCTGTCGGGCATCAGGTTCTCCAGAACCCACCATCACCTGGTCCAGGTAGCTGAAGCAGCCATATTGCTGAGTCTTCTGTCCATATCTAATACATGAAATGATATTTTAGATCTTAATTATTTTGGTGAGAAGAAAAATCTTTGCTTAAGACTAACACATTTACTTAACTACAGTTACGGAAAGAGATGGACACACCTATATACACAAACATCTTCCATCCACAAATTCACTCTCCAGATGGAAGCAATAGTTGGGACTGGGTAAAGATGAAATCAAGAACAAAGAGCTTAATCTGGGTTTCACACATGAAAGCCAGGACCTCATAGGAATGCCAGGACAGTTGGATCATATTTTGCTACTTCTCCCAGACCATAAGCAAGGGTCTGGATGGAAAGAGTGGTAACTAGGAAATAAATTGACATCCACAGGTGATGCTGGAATAACAGGAAGTATCCTAATGCTCTGTTACAATGCCAAACCTAAATAAAACATTTCAAATTTTAAAAATGTAAGAATTTTCATTAAGTTGGCTAGAATAATTATTAAAGGAAAAAATAGGGTGAATTTGCTCTGTTTTTCTGAGTCAAAGACTGAACCACAGCTTTTCTAATGAAAACTGATGTGGGGGTGATATGATTCAATCATTTTATGGTAATACCTACATTAAGTCAATAGATCTCATATTATGGCTGATTTCACTGTACAAAATCATGTTAGAATGTGCTTGACATTCTATGTGCGGGCTATATTTCATGGCAAGTACTAATTATGTTGTAAAATTCCATGCATTTGTTATATGCTTTTTTTAAAGTTCTTACTGAATGAGTGGACTTTATATTCTACACATATTTTGATAGTTTATTCACAGGTTTCAATTTTTAGTTTGATTCCCATTAAGGTCAATTGAGTCCAACTTCTATTTTCTAGATTATAGCTCAATCTCCTAAAACAAGAAAAATCTTGTAAAATTACAAATGCTCACATATATTTGTAAAATCATTATTTGGTATAATTAATTCATATAGCATACTCATGTAGTGCAATAATAGTCACAAAAAATTTGAAAGCTACCTCCTAGGATTCCAGAATCTCATGAGTACTAGTTTGAATTTTTTTTTAATTTACTTATTTTTATTTTTAAGTCAGTTAAACAGAGAAGAGACAGAGAGGAAGACCTCCCATCAGTTGATTCACTCCTCAAGTGGCTGCACTGGCCAGAACTATGTCTATCTGAATCAGGAGCCCAGAGCCTCTTCTGGGTGTCTCACTTGGCTGCAGAGTCCCAAGACTTTGGGTTGTCCTTGAATGCTTCCTCAGGACACAAGCAGGGAGCTGGATGGGAAGTGGGGCCACTGAGATGAGAACAGGCTGCTATGTGGATCCTGGGGCATGCAAGGAGAGGACTTTCAGCCGCTAGGCTACCAGAGTACTAGTTTGAGCCTGCCTGATCTACTCTTGATGCTGCTTCCTGCAGTTGCACCTAGGGAGTTAGCAAAGGATGGCTCAAGTGATTCTATCACTGCATCCCTGTGGGAGATCTGGAGGAAGCTCCTGGCTACTGGCCTTCACTTAGCCTGTTCCTTCGCATTCTGTTTAGGTAGAGTGAACCAGTGGGGGAAGATTTCTACATGTCTCTTTTGCAACTCTCAAATGAATAAACAATTCTTGAGAAAAATAATTTGGACAAAAAGAAAATGATTTAGAGAAAAAAGAAATTATGCTGAATACAAAATTTGCAATATTAGACTATTTCTTATTCTATTCCAGCTGATCATTTAGTAATATTATCATTAAACTTCAGACTTGTTCATCTTAGTTATATATTCAGTATAGCAGGTTGCAGTACATAACATTAAAAGAGGAGTGTTAGGTCCCGGCACAGCAGCCCAGTAACTAAAGTCCTTTCCTTGCATACACCAGGATCCCATATGGAGGCCAGTTCTTGCCCCAGTTGCTCTACTTCCCTTTCACCTCCCTGCTTGTAGCTTGGGAAGGTGGTCAAAGACTGCCCAAGGCCTTGGGACATTGAACCCTTGTGGGAGTTCCGGAGGAAGCTCCTTGCTCCTGGCTTTGGATCCGCTCAGCTCTGGCCATTGAGGCGATTTGGACAGTGAGCCAGCAGATGGAAGATCTTTCTGTCTCTCCTCTCTGGACTACTGACTTCCCAATAAAAGTAAATATTTTTTAAAAAGTTTTTGGTGTTTGATATGCATATTCTTCTGTGACCCACAGTGGTCTCTTTACAGGGGATTAGTCATTAAGTATTCACCAGTCATTAAGTATTCACCACAGATGATCATCCTAATGTCCCAGAGGCTCCGATTTACTGACACAGACCCTCAACAACAACATATCTAATTGCACACCAGATTACTCCTTTGGTCATACAAATATGTGCAACCTCTAGGCTGAAAGTAGGAACACAGAACTCTACCAGAACCTTCCACCTGGATTTCAGGGGCACACACCCATGTGATGTGAAAGTCCAAAGCTGTGGTTTAATTTACCATGCCATACATCACATCTTCTGTAACTTATTTCATTATTGTCTTTAACATTTTGAGCTTCATTTTCTCTTCCCTTGTGTTTGTTATTATATTATTCTGATTTAAGCAGAGATGTTTCCTTCTGAACATTTTTAATGATACACTATTTCACATGGGATATATTCATTTTCTTCAGTTTATGTACCACTAAAATTTCTGCATGAAACTAATTGTCTTTTTTAAAGATTTATTTCTTTTTATTATGAAGTCAGATATACAGAGAGGAGGAGAGACAGGAAGATCTTCCGTCCGCTGATTCACTCCCCAAGTGAGCCCCAATGGCCGGTGATGCACTGATCTGAAACCTGGAACCAGGAACCTCCTCCAGGTCTCCTACACGGGTGCAGGGTCCCAAGGCTTTGGGCCATCCTTGACTGCTTTCCCAGGCCACAGGCAGGGAGCTGGATGGAATGTGGAGCTGCCGGGATTATAACCGGTGCCCATATGTGATCCTGGTGCGTTCAAGGTGAAGACTCCAGCCACTAGGTCATGCTGCCGGGCCCATGAAACTAATTTTGATATTGTTTAATTAGAATATATTAATTTTCCCCAGTGTTTCAGAATAGTTGCTATGTGTCTCAGCATAGAAACTGTGTATGGAACTAAAATCCACAAAGAAGCCTTGTTTCTCACCAATATAGTACACACAGTTTTTCTGTTTTTGCCTTAATTATTTCAATATTTAAATATAAGTCAAATTCTATTATCTCCAAATTTAGAACAGTTTCCATGTGTCATGTTTAATACTTATGCCTTGATTTCTGATAGTACTATAATATATATTTTTAGTAAAGAATAGGAATTTCGTCTAATGACGACTGTAGTACATAAATTAACTGATACTTGTATATCAGAAAGCCAATCATGATAAACTCTTTTCTTCAGGAATGGCAAGCTCATTCAAGAAAATGAAAAACACATATTGAAACGAAGCAATACAGAACTCACTGTCAGGAATATAATCAATAGTGATGCAGGCCCTTATGTCTGCAGAGCAACCAACAAGGCAGGGGAAGATGAGAAGCAGGCATTCCTCCAAGTCTTTGGTAAGTATTCTAGCAATATTGTTAAAGTTACGATATCCAGACAGACTCAGAAACAAAGTCTTTAGTTATCAAAAAGTGACAGAGCTAGGAATCTTGAAAAGCCTCTTCATTTGGATAGAATATTAAAGCAAGTTAAATTGATTACTAATGATCTTTTTCCAGCAAACACTGCTTAAAAAGACTCTTTCAAAAACTACACCACCAAATAAATGACTGTGCATAATCATAGGTCATGAATTAATAGTAGTGATGCATATGATAATTCTTAATGGGCATTATAAACTCTTCTCACCTGCAGTTAATTATTTATTGATTATTAGGATGGCATTGAGAGATAAAGAAAATGTGTCTGATTATTTCGTTTCATATAAATCATAATGCATGCAGTATTACCTGCTATTTGTAATGTCACTGTTGCAATCGTTTATGTGCCGTAATGTTAAACAAAATTTTATTGCTCTTGCACAAGATCTAGTAATATTCCAACCCAACCCACTAAGGGCAGTGTAGCAAACAACTAATTGTTTATCTGTGTAAAGGCAGATGTACAGAGAGCAGGAGAGACAGAGGAAGATCTTCCATCAGATGATTCATTCCCCAAGTGGCTGCAATGGCCTGTGCTGTGCCAATCTGAAGCCAGCAGCCTGGAACTTCTTTCCAGGGCTCCCACGCGGGTGCAGGATCCCAAGGCTTTGGGCTGTCCTCGACTGCTTTCCCATGCCACAAGCAGAGAGGTGCATAGGAAGTGGAGCTGGCAGGATTAGAACCATAGCCGGTATGGGATCCCGGCGCATTAAGGCGAGGACCTTAACCATTACGCTATCACACTGGGCCCTCAGTATCCTTATTATATGAAACCAAGAAAAATAGAGTTGGTATGTTTTGGTTAGTTGTTCACATATTACAAAAGACTTTACTGTTACTGAAAGATGAAATAATTATTGTTGATTTTTTATACAGTATATCTCAAGAAGCAAAAAACTAAGAAAAAAATTATAAAATAATGGATAATATAAAATTCATAACATAAGTCTCAGATTTAGTTGTATGTGATTTATGTTAATTTCGATTAGAAAGCAAGTTTTCCTTTTATATAAAATAATAAAAGAGGTAATCTGAGACCAAATGTATGGTAAATTGAATTACATTGATATGTATGTTTCCATACATTTGAAAACACATCTACCTTTAAAAATTGTCTTCCTTTTAAAGGGGAATATGATAGAAATCAATTTTTAAAATGTAAAAATTATGAAAATATTTGTAATTATTTTGCTGTTATCTGAGCTATTTAAAATTGTCTAATGATAATAAATGAGCACAATTTTTCCAACATTTTTCTCCTGCGCTTTGAAACTCTTAAAATCGAAGGAGACTCTACACAGTAGTTCCTATATTTTTAATTTTGATCACACTGTTAGGATATGAACTGACAGGATTTTCTCACTGTCTGAAAAGAAGCGTTCCCTTCAATATTGATGGAGTAATGTATACATTCTTTACAGTACAGCCTCACATCATACAGCTTCTAAATGAGACTACGTATGAGTACGGTCATGTTACACTCATCTGTGAAGCGGAAGGGGAGCCTCTTCCTGAAATCACTTGGAAAAGAGCGGTAGACGGCGTCACATTTTCTGAAGGCGATAAGGTAACAGCATTCACGGTATCATGCTTGCCAAGTCCATTGCAGACTCTGGAATTCTGAATATTACTAAATCTCACCTTGGTTTCCAATATATGTAATAATTTTCTGCAAATTGATAATTTTTTAAAATTGTATCCCAAGTTTTTAAAATAACTTCAAGAGAAAGTAAATGTATAATATGTAGAGGTTTTTATTAAGTAACAAATTTTAGGGTATTACCGCTAGGGTTAAGTTTACTCACATGGAGTTTTGGTATACATTTAATACATGAAATATATTCTTGCCATTTTAACCTGCATACCTGCTGTGTAAGTGAAACCGATTCAAATTCAAAATGTTTGGCTGAATTCAATATTTTTTTAGAACTGTTTGTGTTCAAAAGAGTTGACTTCTATTTGCAAGTAATTTAGACTCTAAGAAAAGAACAAACATAGCACGTAATTTGGCAATTTTTTACCATTACACATTTGACTTGTTCTTCAGAAAACATGTATCATGCATTGTGCTGCATTTCAGAGGTTTACATTATTGCATTTCATAACTATGAATATGAGACATTGAATATAGGTAAACAGAAAGTAATTGAAAAGAGAATGAATTATATATGTATACATATACATATATATGGCACAGAATTATATATATATGGAACAGAAAACTTTCATAACATTCAGTTGAAACAAAAGAATATATTCACATATATATCAACTTTTTCTCATCTCCTGACAATGAAGTTGTTATCAAAAGGTACATATTATATAAAAATAATATGCAGTTTTGATGTACCCATTTTATATATTGAAGTTGAATCAAATTTCTGTGATGGGAATGGAAATTTTTTTTTTTACTGAAATCCAAAGAAATGTTAGAGATTGTTCTTGTAATTTAATTTTAAAAGATTTATCTGTTAGAGTTACAAAGAGCAGAAGAGAGAGAGACAAGAGAACAAGAGATCGAGAACCCTTCTGTCTGTCTCTTCGATTCACAATAGGCTGCAGTGCTAGAACACAGACAGTGCAAAGCCGATAGTCAGGAACTTCTGGCTGTCCCACTTGGGTATAGTGTCCCAAGCCTTTTGTAGTCCTGTGCTGATTTCCCCTGCACTGGTACATCCTTGCCAACAATTGTTGATTTCTGTATGTAGACTATTCTCACGGGAGTTAAATGGAATCTCATTGTGGTTTTTATTTGCATTTTCCTGATTGTTACTGAATCTTAGCATTTTTTTTAAATGCATCTATTAGCTTCCACCATTTGAGAAGTATAACGTTCACATTCTTTGTGCACTTTTTAACTGGGTTACTTGTTTTGTTACTGTTAATTTTCTGAAGTTCTCTGTAAATCCCGAGCATTAGTCCTGGATCTTCTATGTTATTTGTGAATATTTTCTTGGGTGTCTCTTCAATTTATTGGCTGTTTCCCTGGCAGTATACAGATTTCAAGCTTCTTAGCTTGATGTAGTCCCCTTTGTTTATTTGACTTTAATTGTCTGTTTATTTTGTGTTTTCTCTTAAATGTTTGCCACACTTAATCTGGCACACTGTTCCTGATGTTTTCCTCTAGTGATTTCTTGGGATCAGGTCATAATTTTAGACCACTGATCTACTTAGAGTTCATTTTTATATAACAAAAAGGTAGGTGTCTTCTTACTTCTGTAGGCATATATTCAGTTTTCCTAGTATCATTTATTAGAGACTGTACTTCCTCCCTGGATTGATTCGGTTCATTTGTCAAGTATTAGTTGGTTGTGGATATGCGGGTTCATTTTGGCGGTTTCTTTTCTGTTTCATTGATCTTCAGGCATGATTTGGTGCCAATGCCAGGCTGTTTTGATTACCATTGTCTTATAATGTCTTGAACTCTGGTACGCACTCATATTAGCAGCACTATGCTTTCTAAATATTTTCCTTTCTACTTTAAAGTTCCTAAAAGCTCTCTCCTCAAAACCACTGCCTATAATTATAATTCTATGATACACTTAGCAGAATATTAGATTTGTGACTCTTGCTTAAGGAATGTAAAGGAATGGGGAGAAAACGGGGAGGGAAGAAACCGAAGTAGTGGGAGGACTCAGTATATCTACATAATTGTACCAGGGAAAATAATAATAATGCAAAATAAAAACCTCTAATACTACTTTTACTCCCCTTTTCTAGATTGTTCATAAAAATTTTCCTGTTGAGAGATAAGTTATCTTTGCTAAATTTACAAGTAAAAATTATCAGGGAGCCATAAAGCTGCAACTTTTTATTCTTCAATCTTTGCCCTGTACCATACCAAACCATACACAGGGGTTTTATTATTTTTAGTTTTTTTTAGTAGTTTCAAAAAATAATTCTTTAGCTTCTGTATGGTAAGAGAAAAACCCTGTCACTACTTTGTCACAAAACAATTATAGAAGCATAGTTATGCTTTTTCAACATTTACAGAAACAATAAAAAATAGTATACTGTGACAATCAACCAATAATATTTCCAGATCCATATATATTGCTTTATATCAGTTATTATATAGAATTGATATGTGATATAATAACTGGTTAATAACTGATATACTAAATATATATGGATCTGAAATAACATATTAATTGTTATATCAGTTATCATATGTCTCTTTATATATGTATATACATACATATGTATAATTTTGCTTTATATCAGTTATTTTCTATGGTGGCATTCCTAAATTTTTTGGCAGAAAAGGCAACAGATTTGAGTAGTTGAAATGGGTTTTTTCAAGGCAAATCTAACACTGAATTTCAGCTTTGTGATATCTAACACTTAGGCTTTTATATGAAAACTGTAAATACTGTCATTTTATTTCCTTTTGAATTGTTAATATTCCTCTGACTCTTGCAAGGAAGATGAAGAGTATGTCATAAAATATGTGAAAATTATTTAACATATTTTATATCTATGATGCAGTATTTTAAAATTTTGATCGTATTGAATCAATTTCTAAGCACAGATTTTCTATTTCCTATTGCTCTGAATAAATACTTGTTTATAATACACTCCCAAAATGCTGATCCCAAATTTTATTTAAACACTATCACTATGAAAGATTATTTGGAAATCATATCATTTTCCTCATTAGAAACAGCATGAATTGGTACTATCTGTAAGAGTTACCCAGAGACTCTGTCCCAATCCATATTCTATATTCCAACCACTTGACTTTGATATAGTTTTTCCACCCTGGCTCAAGCAATGCATATTTAATAATGCCATAATTCAGAAGATAACTGTTAACATTGTAAACATGAAGATAAACAGTCAAATATTATCAGTATTATCTGAATCAAAGCGCTAATTACATTCAACACCATTAGTGTACAATTTTCAACTGGAGAAAAGTCTTAAGGAACAATGTCCAATTTTGATGTATTCATTTTTACAATTAATCACTAGATAAGACGAAGATAGGAGAGGATAAAACATGTTTGGTTTAAATCTGTAGGTAAATGGCCATTCTTACACTAAACTAGAAGAATCAGGTACAGGAACAAAACAGGGTTCCCCATAGCATGAAGTCTGGCAGCTCTCCTCCTCCACATCCCCCCTGCTGGGAGAAGCCAAGCAGCTAGCATCACAATGAGGGCCACTTGGGGCTGGAGTCTTGTGGTGAAGTCCTTTAAGAGAAGGATGAAAGAAACGAATGGTGAAAACAGATATGTACAGTTTGGTTTTCCAATAGTTATACGTCGGATAAAGTGTGCTGCACAGTGAGGGAGTATTTAAAGAAAAGTCCACATTTCTCTTGTGTATTGATGATGTCAGAAGTCTATATTTGTAAGGAAGGAAGGAAAGAAGGAAGGGGGAAAGAGGGAAAAAATGAGGGAAGAAAGGGGAAGGAAAAAGGAAGCAGTGAGACAGAAAGGGAGGGAAGGAATTATATTCTTAGGATTGTATCTTTGTGTTCAATGTGTTTTTACATTAGTATCGTATTAACATGAGAATTAGTAGGAATCATGTTATAATGATTATTATACATTTGCTGTGACCCCCAAAAGTCTAATTTTTTGATAAATTCCTTTAAATGATTGTTTTAAATGAATGAAATGTCTACAGTTTTGTCTCTTTTTAACCACATTAAGGTTTTGTTATTATTATTTTTAATTGGCAAGGCAGGTATACAAAGAGGAGGAGAGACAGAGAGGAAGGGCTTCTGTCTGGTCCTATGGTTCTGTCCCCAAGCAGCCACAATGGTTAGAGCCGAACCAATCCTAAGCCAGGAGCCCAGAGCGTCTGCTGGGTCTCCCAAGTTGGTGCAGGGTCCCAAGCTTTGTTCCGTCCTCAGTTGCTTTCTCAGACCACAAGCAGGGAGCTGGATGGGAAGCAGTGCTGCTGGTATTAGAACCTGTGCCCATATGGTAGCTTGGTGTGTTCAAGGTGAGGACTTTGGCCACTAGGCTATTGCACTGGGACCCTTACTCATTCAGTTTAATCTCCGTTGGGAGTGGGTGTGCAGAGGAGGGACCTAGCTTTCTTTGTTGGATAAGAATGAGTTTTGAACCCATTGTTAGGTTAAAATGATTGTCTCGTTTGCAATATGACAAAATAAAGTAGAATTATTTCAGAGTTTTTACATAATGTCTTATATCATTTCCATTTTTCTTTTCCTGTACACTCGTATTTTCCTCTTTTTAATTGTGTTTATTTTAGAGTATTTTTTAAAATCTTGTATATTTTGACTGGAAAGTCAGATTTACAGAGAGAAGGATACACACAGAGTAAGATTTTCCATCCACTGGCTCACTCCCCAAGTTTCTGCAAGCGCTGGAGATGAGCTGATCTGAAGCCAGGTTCCAGGAGCTTCTTTCAGATCTCCCATGCAGGTGCTGGGTTCCAAGGCTTTGGACCATCTTGTGCTGCTTTCCTAGGCTAAAACAAGGGAGCTGAATGAGTGGTGGAGCAGCCGGGATAACCAGCTGGTACTCATATGGGATGCAAGTACTTGCAAAGTGAAGATTGTGCCATTGAATCATCTTGCCAGGTCCAAAT